GGATGAGATAGCTGGACATGGTCCTGCTTTGAGCAGGGTGTTGGACTAAATCAGCATTTCTCAATGTGTGGGTATTCACCCAAAAGTTGGTCACAAGAATATATGAAAGGGTTGTGAACAAACTTTCAAAATGGAATATCCTTTAAAGGAGAAAAACATGGGAAACCATGGCTTTCCCCTTGCAGGCTGGCAGAGCTCCAGCTTGCAAAGGGCTGCTTGAACCCCCCCTGCCCCACACACGGGGGGGTGGGGCTGGGGCCTGGGGGCAACGGGTCAGGAGTGAGGGACACTCAGTCAGGACTGCATGTCGATGTTTACAAATGGGTCCTGGCACAAAAAAGTTTGAAAATTACAGCCGTACACTACTGTTCTTGCTGTTGTGGCCACTGGGGGTGCTGCATGCATGATAGTGTCAGGGTTGGAAGTTTTAAGCAGAACTCCTTTGTAGACAAGGCCTAAGGATGTGCCAAATGGACCTCCAGAGCTGGAGAATCTTTCATCCGCTGTTTAAATAGCCAGGGTGTGTAGAGATCTGTGATCTGTGCACAGGTTATGAGGCACAGAGGGATTCAGTGGAAATTGGCCAGGGCCCACCCAGACCCCCAAACATGACCAAGGCTGTTCCAGAGGCCACCTCGCGGCTCAAACCACCACAAGACCACCTGGCCTAGACCTTCCTGGCCTGCAGCAGTAGGGAAGGGGATGGAGTCTTGGAAGACTTCATCAGCTGAATCTCTTGCTGACTTCCTCTGGACAAACGGGTGCCTCCATGTGTGGAGATGGGGAGGACTCGGTGGAGTTGGGAGAACAGGGAAGGCCCCCATCTCTTCACCTACAGCTCCCCATTTGGCGGCACAACTCCCAGAGGGCAGCAGCCAGATTTGGGTCTGCCTGGAAACCTCAGATCTGGATGGCTGTAGTAGTCTTCTCTGGCAGCTAGGGCTGCCAGGGTTGGTCTGTGCGCGGGGGACAAACTGTAAGACAGATCTACACCTGTAGGCAGGGGGTGGTTGAGCCCCCCCCACACCAGCATCTGCTGAGTAGCCTGCCCAGGGATAGTGTGTGTATGTCTAGATGTGTGTGAAGGCTGTCTCCCTCCATTCTGCGTGTGTGTGTGTGTGTAAGATATTTGTGGTTGTGTGTGGAGGCTACCTACCTCTCTCCTTTCTGTGGCTGTGTCAATGAGTGCATGAGGTCGTGTGTAGATGAGGTTGTGTGTGTCATGTGTGGTGTGTGGAGGCTGACTCCCTCCTTTATCTGTGTGTGTGTGGGGGGGGAGGCTCTCTCTCTCCTTTCTCTGTGTGTAGGGGTGTGTGTGTAAATGTGTGCAGCTGCGTGTGCGGAGGCTGTCCCCCTCCTGTGTGTGCGGTCCCTCCTCCCGGCGGCCGGGGCTGCTCCGCGCGGGGCGGGGCGGGCGGGGGCTCCTGCAGCCGG